TCAAGAAACTAAAAAAAATAAATAAAAAATAGCAGCAACAAAAACCACTTAGTGGTTAACGTACCAGACAGGATTCATGGTTTGCGTCCCCTTTCATTAAAAACGCACTCCGTACTTGGGGTTGTGGGTGCGCTATCAATTCAAAATTAGGGACAACATGGCGGCTGTGTGTGGCTTTCCTCGCAATTCTATAGCAAACAATACAGTGGCACTCTTATACGTATTTGTTTAATCTTTCTGCTGTCAACAATGCTTGAAACAAAGGATATTATTAGCATTGGTTTCATTAACCATGATGGATAACCTATTAGGAAACCATTCTCATTAACTGTTAGTATTGGTTTCATTATCCATGATGGATAACCCATTAGGAAACCAATCTCATTAACTGTTAGTATTAATTTCATTATCCATGATGGATAACCCATTAAGAAACCAATCTCATTAACTGTTAGTATTGGTTTCATTATCCATGATGGATAACCCATTAGGAAACCAATCTCATTAACTGTTAGTATTGGTTTCATTATCCATGACGGATAACCAATTAGGAAACCAATCTCATTAACTGTTAGTATTGGTGTCATTATTCATGATGGATAACCCATTAGGAAACCAATCTCATTAACTGTTAGTATTGGTTTCATGCTCCATGATGGATTACCCGTTAGGAAACCAATCTCATGAACTGTTAGTATTGGTTTCATTATCCATGATGGATAACCCATTAGGAAACATATCTCATTAACTGTTAGTATTGGTTTCATGCTCCATGATGGATTACCCGTTAGGACACCAAGCTCATTAACTGACACGTGACCTTTAGACTACAAAGACCTTACAGAATCGAAGCAAGTAAAATCCAGACGGAAATTCAACCTCAACAGACTTGCAGTGTGTATAAAATACTACCATATCCGCCATTATACAAAGAAAGGGTGGTCCAGAAAGATTCATATTTAAATCATCTATATAAAAAGGGTGGTCCACCGAGATTCGTTTTTAGATCATTTTCACAAATAAAAGGTGGTATAAAGAGATCCATTTTCAAATCATCTCTACAAAGAAGGAGAGTTCTGCCAAGATCCGATATTAGATCATCTCTCCAAAGAAGGGGTGTTCTCTCAAGATCCGATATTAGATCACCTCTCCATAGAAGGAGTGTTCTGCCAAGATCCGATATTAGATCATCTCTCCAAAGAAGGGGTGTTCTGCCAAGATCCGATATTAGATCACCTCTCCATAGAAGGGGTGTTCTGCCAAGATCCGATATTAGATCATCTCCCCCAAGAGGGGTGGTTCACCGAGATCCGAATTAGGTCTTCTCCCCGCATAAAGATGGTGCACCAATATTTGTAATTAGATGATCTCCATCCCCACCCCCAAAGAAACAACAACAAACAAAACAAATGTGGTTAACTATAATTTGATAGATTGCTCAAGCATTTTTCCTAGATCTAAATAATAACTAAGGTGCAAGTAGCGCCACCGTTGGTGAAATATTGAACCTCGTCGTCACACACACATTTATTATATATTTTTTTAACATGGGCGAAAGACTAAATCACGTTATTGGCAAATCCAATTTATTTTACCTGAATATCTTATCTTCAGAATGCTTTTCATAAACTTTAAAACTATTAAATAAAACATGGCGCAGATTTATAAATATATATAGAAAGAGATGTGAATGGTCTCCCTGCTGGTTCGTTGGATATATATTTTTTATTAATAGAAGTTATATTTTTGTTGCATCAAATAGTTAAACGTAATCAACGCAACTGAAGATTTACAGAATGATCGATGTTTGTGAACAAATAATCTCATTTACGCTTGATTTAACTGAAAGTGCTTTTTTTATGTTGTTCAAACTAGTGGTTTACTACCAAACATTATCTGTCAACTTGTGAAAAGTGATGAATTTTTAACAAAGTGGGAAAATGAGTTGAACAGCTTTTGTGGAGTTATCTGACACCGCCATGAAGACATATTTTTCCAAAAAATGATAGTAACCACTTAGAACAGGTACATTGCATCTATTGCTATAAAACATTTTTATAGACAAAGTTTTGTAATAGAAGTGAGCTTTTTTAATAGAGTTTTGAGCTTCATCAATTTTTGATTCTGGCGCGGACTGTCCCTGTGGTACAGCTCAGGATTTTGGAGCTGGTAAGTCCAGTTCGAAACAGTGAGATACCATAAAATATTCCTCACAATTTAAACCGTGGGTTCGTTATAAGAGTGATAACCAGTCCCTTGGCGTGAATACTGGTTGGATGCATTCCCTGTGATCAGTAGTTCAAAATTACGGACTGCGAGAGACAGCCTTGGTAGTTTTGTCATAAAATCTTAACATCCTAAGCCTCATTTAGATTCAAAAATGACCCTCGGCCCTCCAGGAGGCGATGATTGGGCCATGATCATCAACACCTTCTAAATCCTGATTTCTGCCCTTTTGCACCCTTTTATTAATAGGTCTTTCATAACAGCTTGTTACAGAGATTTGGGTTGTAATCCGTGAATAGCCATTGACTGACCACGGCATTAGAAAAACTAGGTCTTTCATAACAACTTGTTACAGAGATTTGGTTTGTAATCCGTGAATAGCCATTGACTGACCACGGGATTAGAAAAACTAGGTCTTTCATAACAACTTGTTACAGAGATTTGGTTTGTAATCCGTGAATAGCCATTGACTGACCACGGGATTAGATAAACTATATTTTCTACTTGGACAATACATAAAGCTGTTCACTAAACGTTGTACATTTGCTGTTATGTTAAATCTATATTAAAGTTTTTCTTCATTACCCATTCAAGCCGTCTCCAACCATTATTAAACGGTAAGTAAATTAAACTATTAAATAGCCAATATAAAAGGTTTTTCAAGGGTTTCGATAAATGAAGAGAAGAAGAAAGTTCACGGACTTGTGTCTATTTTAGTCTGAATTAAAATCTGATGGCAATGAAGATTGATTGAGTTTTAATATGACAGAAGGAGATCAATACTTTCCGATATGACATAAAATCGCACTCAATAAAACTGAGGGCTCATGACGCCAAAAACCGGGTTTTAATACACGCGGTGAGCAGCGCACAGATAGCCCATTGTGTAGCTTTGTGCTTAACAACAAACAAACAAGCTTTTCCGGAGTTTAAAAGAAAGAGAGTCCTCGGTGGGTCAGTAGTAAGTTTACGAACTTACAAGGCTGAAATCCGGGGTTCGATTCCCCGCTATAGACAAAGCGCAGATAACCCATTGTGTAACTTTGAACAAAGGAAGAAAAAAAAAACAAACAACAGTTTATTTTAGAGCAAAGTCACTTTAGGCTATTTGATGTGTCCTTCGAGGGGAATCGAACCTCGGATTTTAGCGATGTAAATCTGTATCTTTTACCGCAAAACAAAACCAAAAAACAAAAAAAAGAGAAATAATTTTTAAATTGTGGTTTAGTTATTGATTTTAAGAAATAAGAGTCTTGTCACGTTTCTCGAGGTATAAAAACCAAAAATGAGTTTGTACTTCGTGTAATAAAGTTGCAAATAAAGAAATGTGTGGAAGATGCTAATTACAATCAATATTTATAGTTGATGAGCTTGGCTTAAATTGCGTCAGTAAGTACTGATTACGGAGACTCGGTACCTCAAGAATTCATATAGACAAACTGGTTTCTAATGAAGTCATCACAAAATAACTTTTTTTTTCATTGGTTTGGTCTTAACGTTAGTTTTGCGTCAGGTTCTCGCGCGCTAAGGATGAAGGTTAATAGAAACGTCTAATGAAAAGTTTATACGAAATCAGCTAAATATTTACGAAGTCATAATGTTCTAAGCAGTTAAGTTCCGTAACTAGGGTACAACGTAACCAAGGAAACGCTTACATTAGTTCGTGATGTGAATACTTCCAAAAAGTCGCTGCTATAAAGTAGATTTGAGAAGATATTACATTATTAACCCTAGTTCTGGTTCTCTAGCGTGTTCTGAAAAGCCAATATTAAGGATCTGTAAAGTTATTAGATTCTTAACGATAGTCCTGGTTCTGTAGGGTTTTCTGGCAAGCCAGTGTTACCCGAACATATTACAGTCAACCAGAACAAGCAGATCACATTGTGTTACGAGACCTGCATGTAGTGTAAGTCTACACAGTACAAAGTCAACTCTGATTTTAACCAAATAAAATAACTCACATTATAAAACATTAGATAAAATAATTTCTATATTATTCGTTATAAGAGTGTACACAAATTATATAGTAATGTTGATCAAAATCAATAAAGAACTCAACACGAAACATGCATATTGTATTAAAAACACACATATATATCTAAATCACTCAACACGAAACATACATATTGTATTAAAAACACATATATATATCTAAATCACTCAACACGAAACATACATATTGTATTAAAAACACACATATATATCTAAATCACTTAACACGTGTTGAGTGATTTAGATATATATGTGTGTTTTTAATACAATATGTATGTTTCGAAACATACATATTGTATTAAAAACACACATATATATACTAAATCACTCAAAACGAAACATACATATTGTATTAAAAACACACATATATATATCTAAATCACTCAACACGAAACATACATATTGTATTAAAAACACATATATATATATCTAAATCACTCAACACGAAACATACATATTGTATTAAAAACACACATATATATCTAAATCACTCAACACGAAACATACATATTGTATTAAAAACACACATATATATATATCTAAATCACTCAACACGAAACATACATATTGTATTAAAAACACATATATATATCTACATCACTTATTATTCAAATGTAGTCTTCAGCTCATATCATTTTACCAAAAAAAAAAAGATTTTATGTTCAAATTCACTAAAAACTAAATTTCGCTTGAAATGTTTTCCAGAAACAGTCCTTACAAATTTTGCACGTAAATAATCAACTAGCTTTAGCACAAATTTTTTAAGAAATGAGACTACTTACTGTCGTAATCATTGTAAAGGTGTGGGGATGCAGTAACCAGTTGGTCGACGACTACAAGAACGCAAAGAAACGAAACACAGGTTTTAAAGAATGTGGTTGAGTCCATCTTAGTAGCAAGAACAGCACAGGGTGAAGTCCTGCCAATGGACAATGAAATAAGCAAACATTTTTCTCAGGCAGCTCAACAACAACAACAACAAAAACTTAAAACGTTATTAACTGTGATATTTTAACCAAAATTTAATTCTTTTATTGCCCTTCTTTAGAGTACGGGCAAGTTTATAGCTACCCCCCCCCCCCCAGAACACTGCCAAAGGTGTATGAGATACTCTGGGTGTATGAGATACACTCAAGGGTGTATGAGATACTCTGGGTGTATGAGATACACTCAAAGGTGTATGAGATACTCTGGGTGTATGAGATACACTCAAAGGTGTATGAGATACTCTGGGTGTATGAGATACACTCAAGGGTGTATGAGATACTCTGGGTGTAGGAGATACACTCAAGGGTGTATGAGATACACTCAAGGGTGTATGAGATACTCTGGGTGTATGAGATACACTCAAGGGTGTATGAGATACACTCAAGGGTGTATGAGATACACTCAAGGGTGTATGAGATACTCTGGGTGTATGAGATACACTCAAAGGTGTATGAGATACTTTGGGTGTATGAGATACACTCAAGGGTGTATGAGATACTCTGGGTGTATGAGATACACTCAAGGGTGTATGAGATACTCTGGGTGTATGAGATACACTCAAGGGTGTATGAGATACTCTGGGTGTATGAGATACTCTGGGTGTATGAGATACACTCAAAGGTGTATGAGATACTCTGGGTGTAGGAGATACTCTGCACAACTTTTATCTTAATCTTCAAAATATGTGTGATGTTAATGAATGTTCTGAGAAATGGGGACGCAGTAAAATTGAATATTTTATAATTAATTAGATCATAGCTTCTCCAGAACATCTATTGAACCTGATCATACTGACCACCCAATGCCACCTAGAATGTATAACAGGCGAAAACGTGCACATAAGTAAAAACATAATTAATTAAATAAAAGAACCTCGTATTAATATCCATCATTGGAACGATTTCCGATTATTTTCGTTTTATTCCAGCATTTTCCACTGACTTAACACGGATTTCTTCTACTTAGTCATCAACTGTTAATTTTTAATTTTTTCCCTCGTTATCTGATGGTTGAAGATAGAAAGCAGTTCTACGGAGAATAACACAACACATTACACACATATATATATAACACATGTTACTGATTGCTCAGACAATTCTTCAGGCTGGAATGAAACATCAAGGGAAAAAAGTTAGTGACGAGGGATATAAGTCCACGAAACCAGTATAATTCAGTAGGAAAATAGTTAGTGACGAGGGATATAAGTCACGAAACCAGTATAATTCAGTATTTCGTGAACTTATATCCCTCGTCACTAACTGTTTTCCCCAGTATAATTCAGTGGGAAAACAGTTAGTGACGAGGGATATAAGTCCACGAAACCAGTATAATTCAGTGTTTCGTGAACTTATATCCCTCGTCACTAACTGTTTTCCCCAGTATAATTCAGGGACAAGTGCCGAATCAAATTTCAGATTAGTCTTATTTATTTTTAACACCAGGTGTTGCTGCAGTATGTGCAAAAGTAAGAAAAAAATTTGCCCCAGTTAATTTAAAGTTTCACCTTGCTGGAATGTATAGAAATGATCCATGCTATGTCAGGTCAAAGTTCGAGTTACATTCGGTTAAAGTTCACCTTTTTTTCGGTCATCGTTCTTGTTGCTTTAGGTCAAAGTTAAATATTAGGATAGTGTACAAGCTCAACGTTTTGGCTTCGTGACTTTATCAGGGGTCATTCAATTTATTTGCTCACGATGGAGGCGTAAAGCCGAAACAAAATAAGACAACTTGTAAGGTTCTCTGGAGTTTATGGTTATACTACTTATTAGTAATTATTGTACTATGCCCCAGTCAACATTATTTAGATTACAAGTTGAATTGTTTCCTTTTAAGGCTCTATAGGTGATCAGTGAGTTTTGGATCAGCTAAATTTTTAATGGAGTTTTGTAACTAGAAACATTACATTCTTCTACTTATATAATTGGTGTTTCCACTAGCTCCTTCTTGTTGCTTAGAAACGTAGGATTATGGATTCAGAAAAGGTAATAATATCACATGTTACACAAGATTGAGGGAACATTTATTATTTACATATCAAATCGGTCTTCGTGATGATAACATATCTCGAACAATAAATGACACATGAGTGGACGTTAAGACCGAGATGAATCTTTACGAAAAGTAGTTTTTTTATCATCCTTTAGGCGAGGAACTTTTGGCATATTTGATAAATAATTAGGCAAGTTTATGCGAAGGGGGAAAAGGAGGCGTCATGGAAGTTTCGTTAGAAACTATACATGTTTGGGGTCACGCCTTCTGTTCGAATTTCCGAGAGAGAACACACACACCTTCGATAAAATGAAAACAACATCAGCCAATCAGGGGTGGATACAAAATTTTGGAATGAGTGGTCTAACTCTTGGAGAAAAGAGCTAATAAAACACCGAATAAATAGTATCTATATTAGAGCTTCAAACACCGAGTAACAAAATATATATTTTTTAAGGTTTTTTTATATATACTCTTCATCCCTGTATTCGCTCTTGGTTATCACTAAACTGAAAGTACGTTAACAACCGTTGCTATATAACAAGCTCTATCTTCCTGCAATCGATTGGAATTCGAAAGGACATGATTATATATATATATATCCAACAAACTGACCAATTCTGTAGATTTTCTTATGTTTCTGATTGGATATTTCTAAATATCGTGTACGTCTCACATAAGATACGTGTAAGACGTGTCACGTATATTTAAAGTCATTGAACGTGAAAATAAATTATAATCAATTTATGAATGTAATTTATTCCACACCCAGATTGATAAGTTTAAAGTTATTTGGAAAATAAAATGAGATTGTAAAAATGTGAAAAAAAAAGTCCAGTGCGCGTAGTGTAACAAAACTGAAACCCAAGGTTTATTTTTTATGGATATATCGTGGCTGGAAATTACACTCTGTCATCATCAGATTGTTGTGTTTTATTGTTGATAGTATTATTGGTTTTTTTCTTGCTGGTCTATCATTATCAGACTGTTGTGTTTTATTGTTGATAATATTATTGGTTTTTTCTTTGCTGGTCTATTATTATCAGACTGTTGTGTTTTATTTTTGATAATATTTTTGGTTTTTTTCATTGCTGGTCTATCATTATCAGACTGTTGTGTTTTATTGTTGATAATATTATTGTTTTTTTCTTTGCTGGTCTATTATTATCAGACTGTTGTGTTTTATTGTTGATAATATTATTGGTTTTTTACGTTTGCTTGGTCTATCATTATCAGACTGTTGTGTTTATTGTTGT